AAAAAGCGAAATGTGGTACAGAAACACGCATGTCTACATGTTATATATTGTATGTAACTTGCTGGAGACCTGGTGTATGCAGGCCAGGGTCACCATCCATCAGAAGTCATGGGACACCCAACCATCTGATATTACACCCTGGGTCATATGTAAAGTGACACTAAACCCAAGAGTTAAATCTTAAAAATAAATTCAAGTACCTTAAACATGAACAATTTTGGACCTTATTTGTGTATCACTGTAAAGGCACGATTGCAAACCGCGAGAATCGCGGCAAACTGCGCACGCGCGAGAATCACGCAAACTGCGCACGCGCGAGAATCGCGGCAAACTGCGCGAGAATCGCAGCAAAATGCGCGGGAAAGCACACAGGAAGTGAGGTAGCTGTCTGTATTCCTAGGACTATACAAGGAGGAGCCAGCCTCTCTTTCATTGCTGATGGTCTTGTCAGCTTGGTGTTTGTGTCCTGTATTGTTACTTAGCCTGCCTTGACTCGGATTGCCCTGGACTACTCTTCTGCTTGCTGCCAGCCCCTGACCCCGGCCTGTTCCCTGGATTTGAGATTGCCTTCCGATTTTGTACTTCGCCTGCCCGACCGGATTTGACCTTGGCTTACTGACCTCTCTACACTGTTGTCTCTGCGCAGTGCTTGTTTCCAGTCTACGGCACTCGTGCTCCTCGTTGCCCTGCGCCCTTCTGTTCCCAACTCCAGGGGTCGCAGGACACGAAACGCAAGAGACGCCTCCCCATCTTCCAGTCTCAGCCTCAGGTACGTGATAATCACTCAGCTATAGATCCTCAAATCATCTCTGAATTGGTGCTGACACTGTCCTTCCTCCTGCAGGGTGGCTACTTTTATTCCCCATGGTCCCTGTGTGTGTTGTAAAGTAGCTACCACTAACTCCTGTGTGTTGTAAAGTAGCTAAGCTCACTCCTGCGATGAACTACAATCTCAATACAAATTAGCAAACTACACGTGAGATTGTAGTCCATCTTTCCAGAAGGAAGGGCAGCGTCAGCATGAATTCAGAGATGATTTGAGGATCTACCGCCGAGTGATACACAAATAAAATACATTTTTGTTAATAGTTAAGATACTTGAATGCATTTTTAAGATTTACCGTACTTTGCGCTCTATAAGGCGCTCCGGTCTATAGGACGCAGGCATTCTGTGACAGAAGCTGCAGGTTCAGTGACCGCTGAGATTTAATTGTATATGTGTGCTCTGTGCAGTGGCTGTAGGTATGAAATTAGTTATTTATATGTAATTATATATTAATGCTCTGTGGGTTGTGCCCTGTGCGTTGTGCTGTTGTGCGTTGTGCTGTTGTACCCTGTGCGTTGTGCTGTTCTGCCCTGTGCGATGTGCTGTTGTAACCTGGGTGTGTTTGTGACATGCAGGTTGACGTATGGCATGTGTGACCCTCCTACATATGTGTACCACAACCATTTATATAAAAAAATCCTTAAAATAAGTTTAAACCTTTTCAAACTGTAACCAAACAAACACACAAACTCATTGTTAAATAGTCTTAAATTTGTATTATTCCAAAAAATTCTAAATAGCTTTCACGAAAAGTGAAATAAAAACAAGGCCATAACAGCTGCCAAAGGGGAAAGGCATTTTTCCTGCTCAACCGGGTTCAACACACCGTATTTGGAGGAGAAACTGAAAAGGGTGCCTATAGTCAAACATCGAACTACGGAATTTTTTGGGCCAAATTTATAAATTTTTATAATTTTGGAGCGCAAAGTTAGGCTCGTCCACCTGCATGTCCTCCCTCATTCCACGTGTGGAAAAGCCAGCTGGTATTTGGGTGGTGGAGGTGGAGCTATGTGCCAGGCTGGTGAAGGGAAAAACATATGGGGAATGTGGGCGTGGGTGCCATGTTTCTGGGTGGTGTTGATGGTGCATGGGTGTGTGTGGGTATGCTTGGGAAGTGTGTGTGTGTATGGGTATGACATGTTGAGGTGGATGTCGAATTGGTGGGGCTGGTATGGGTGCAGTGGCATATTGTGAAGAGACATCAGGGAAAATTTCGGAGTCAATGACTCTGGTGATTGCGTCACGTATTTCCCTCTGTCTGATTAAAAGGCACCATATTCAGTTTGCCCTCCAAGATGAGTCAGAAAGCCTGGGGACAGGATGTGCCATGGACTCAAGGAGCCTGTCCTCCTCTCTTTCAGGCCTCTGTCTTCGGGGCCTGAGAACTGTACGCCTGCGTACAGGTCCCCTGGCTGGCGGGGCAGACGGGGTTGGTGTTGCTGGTGGTGGTGTACGGCTTTGTGGGGTGGGCTCTGTGGTCCTGGTGAGAAGCATGGCTCAGTTGCCTGTGTGGTCGAGTCGTCCTCTTCCTGCCTCTCAGTAGGCTCCCAGCTACTGTTGGTGCTGTCATTAGGAAACAATAAATTAGTATGTGCAATATATTATTCTCTGCATGTTATATAAAACAATATTCATGACCGTCATAAACATTGTGTTTGACGTGACTTACCTACGCATTTCCACGCAAGGAATTAGAAATGCCAGCTGCTCAGCGTGTATATATCTGCAGGGGGCACTGGCAGCCGATCCACTTCGGTACTCTCTCTCCTTGCGCCTGTGGCGCATAAATGCGTCCTTGACACTTTTCAATTTCCCTTTTATGATATTGACTGTGGAAACAAAATGTAAACATGAACTAATTAAATTCCTGCTTTTATCTGTCATTTTCTAGGTATTTAACTACTGGACAGTCCTTGGCCAGTCTGCACTACGCATTTATGATTGGGAAATCGACTGCAAGCAAGATCATCCAGGAAACATGGTGTGCGATATGGGATGTCCTGCGTGATGTGGTCATGTCCAAACCCACCAAGGAGGAGTGGATGCAAATAGCAGAAATTTTTGCCACGACATGCAATTTTCCGAACTGTGTGGGAGCCATAGACGGAAAACATATCCGTGTCATTAAACCGATTGGGAGCAGCAGTAGATTTTTCAATTATAATTTTTTTTTTTCTGTGGTCCTTTTTGCGGTAGCTGATGCCAACTACTGCTTCCGCTACATAGATGTGGGATCCTATGGCAGCAGCTCTGACTGTTGCCCCATTCAGACTTTGGTATCCTATGGCAGCAGCTCTGACTGTTGCCCCATTCAGACTTTGGACTGAGGCTGCGTCACGGTGATCTGGACCTCCCGGGGAACACCACGCTGCCTGGTACCGCTCATCCTGCAATGCCTTTCGTGTTTGTAGGAGACGAGGCATTTGCTCTGGGTGAGCATCTTATGAGGCCCTACTCAAGCCGTGGAAAGAGCCTGGAGAAGAGGGTCTTCAACTATAGGCTTACCCGAGCACACAGGGTGGTGAAGTGTGCCTTTGGCATACTGTCAATTAAATGGCGCTTTCTGCACTCGCCAATAAATCTGAAAATAGAAAACGCCATCTCTGCTGTGAAGGCAGCTGGTGCCCTTCACAATTTTGTGCGTCGCGAGATGGATTTCTATTTGATGATTCATTGGTGCATTGCATGGAGAGTAGCCATTGGAGCGGCAGCCGTGGTACCACGCACAGAGGCACCATTCGGGACCAATTTGCTGCATATTTCATGTCACCTGAGGGGGACGTGTCATGGCAGATGCAAGCAATTCAATCTTGATTCCCCAAAAAATAAAAAACCTTTATCCTTGTTCTGTTCCTAATAAAGTTTGTTTGAATATAACTAATATCTGAGCCTTGTTTTTTCTAATATTGAAATGCACCGCATAGCATGCACGCATGTCACATGAAAACACTGCACACATGTTACATGAAAACAATGTACGCATGTTGCATGAAAACAATGCACGCATGTTACATGAAAACACTATACGCATGTTACATGAAAACACTATACGCATGTTACATGAAAACACTATACGCATGTTACATGAAAACACTGCACGCATGTTACATGAAAACACTGTACGCATGTTACATGAAAACAATGCAAACACTACGCATGTTACATGAAAACACTGTACGCATGTAACATGAAAAAACACTGTACACATGTTACATGAAAACAATGCACACGTGTCACATGAACACACTGCACGCATGTTACATGAAAACACAGCACACATGTTACATGACAACACTGCATGCATGCTGCATGAAAAACCACCACACATCTCGCATGAAAACACTGCTGACATGTACCTTTTGCGTCTTTAACTTGCTTGGTAAAACTCTCCCAATCAGGCCATGTATTCTTGGCAATTTCTTCCCATGCACGCTGCCTGATTCGCCGGTTCTTATAAGCCAAATCCTTCATGTCATATATTCAGGGCTTTGCCTGGACCAGGCGTATGAACGCATCTGTATCGATCAGGCCACATGCTGCTGATTCCTCCATTTTGCTGCTTGCTTCTCGGTCGACCGAAAACTGTGTGGTCTGTAGCGGAACGCGCGTTCTAGGCGCCCTTTTGATGACAAACGCGCAAACACTCATTTCAGCCCGTTCACAACTAAGTCTATGGCCGCGAACGCGCTACAAAACGGCCCAATACGCCCCCAAGAAGCTCCTGTACTTTTTCTGGCGTAGGCCGTTTTGTAGCGCGTTTAGACGGCCTGAAATACACCAAGGTGTGAACCATACCCATAGGAAACAATGGGATTTCGGTGTTTGAGCGTTTTGCAGAGCATACGAACGCGCTACAAAATGCCCAGGTGTGAACCGGGCCTAAATCTAGGAATTGCACATATGTACCTTTTACAAAAAGAAACACAGTCTGCTTTATCAGGTGTCTTTATTGGTTAAATCTGTCCCTATAAATGAAAACATTTGCAGTGAAGCCGCTGATACCTGATCCAGGTGGTCATGGCTGTGAGCAGATTGTTATGAGCTGAGAGGTGGGGATCGGCCTGATTGTACGGCTGGGAGTGGCCCTTCTCCTAAGCCTTTTACCTGTAGATGTGCAGCAGACACCTCTGCCTTCTCCACCTTCAGCCCCAGGCACTCAGGGAGGAGTGACAGCAATCACGGAAGTCAGAACTTATCTGGGACGCTACACAATGGGAACTGCAACTTCGCATACTTAGAAATCCAAAAATCCTGTAAAGGGAGCTGCCCGGTCATCAGACAGGGGACATTGCAGAGTCCAGGATCTCATACACCTGTGTGCTGGCGCACAGAGGGATGGTACAGGGCACTGTAGACATTCCTATGGACAGGAAAGGCCAGAGAGGAATGTAACAGTTCCCGTCCCCCGGAGATCACAAATATTTCACAGCACAACCATGGAAGAGAAGGCACACAATTGTTACTGAGAGTGTGTGGCTTATACTGCGACTTTGGAGGAAAAGGGACTTTTCTCAGGAATTCTGCCACACCTGGGGACAGTGACACAGCAAGATGCAGGTAAGGGCTGATACTGCATGACTGTTGTGTTGCAGTAGCACTGTTGTGAAAATAGGACTTGATAAGTGAAAGCCTCTGTTGTCATTGGATAGACTGTTTTATAAGTGGACCCAGGGGAGCCCCAATTTTAGTACAATATCTAGATCAGGTTAGGCGGCAACCTCGGCAATCTAGCTGTTGTGGAACTACAAATCCCAGGAGGCACTGTAAGATTCGGACAGCAACAGGCATGATTCCCAGAGGCAGAAGCATGATGGGATTTGTATTACACCACAACTGCAGTGCAAAGGTTTCCTACCCTGGTCTAGACATAAGCAGCAAAACCGACTGCCCATGAAGAATAAAGAGTGACTTGGCCCTACCATCATGGCCCAGATGCATCTTTTCAGTGCGTTAATACACACACTAATGTGAAGGAGGCCAGTTCAAAATCCAGGGACATGTTGTGAACCCAGTTTGCCTGAATTTGCCTATGCGCACGCAAAACTTTGATTGGCAAACCCCCTTCCCCCCCTCCCAGTCCAATCAGTTGCGACAGGGGCATTAACTGCTTTGCAGTTACAGGTCACATACTGATTAGGCAGTGAAGGGGGTGTCAGATGCACTTTTACAGGGTCTTGGATGAACTTAGACAAAGTGGGTTCACACCAAGCCCCTGCACATCGCTAGTCACTGCTGAGTCCTGTAGTAACAAAGGGGTCAGAGAAAGGTACCTCCGCGCAGCAAAGGACGCACCCCATCAAATCTTTAGAGTGTTGCCTGATCCCTTTCTTGTCAAATTGACCTTAAAATAAAAAAAGTTTGCTTTGAATTTAATTTTGGAAATATTATAAAAACAATCATATTAAAACGTTTGCAGACACACTTGCTTTATTGATCTGCAGACAATCCATACAAGACCAATTCTCTCACCATCTATCATGCTAAAATATATATATTTTTGTACTAGAAATTGTCCCCCCTCTTTGGTGATTTCAGTGGTCATTGATATAAGGAGTGAGGGGGAATCTCGGCACTAAGCAAACAGTAAAAAAAATATTTCTCTGTACCCCCTGATGATCGGAATTTCCCAGCCGAGACACGGGCTACAAAAAAATTACAGGCAGTCTCTATCCCTTTCCTGTTTTATTCAAAACTTAAGGTTTTGCCTGGATTTTGACTTTAATACATTTGACCCAGGGGAGAACAAATCAATGTGGAATTCGGTGCCAGCCTGTCTAATCCAGGAACCAACAGGATCTCTTTTTAGCAGCCGGATTCATTGACAGCAACTAGAGAAAACCTCAGATATTAGGAAGCAGCTACACTTAGGCCCCTTTTCACCCCGGCTGATCAGGAGAGGATCCATGCACGGGTCCTCCCCTGGTCACAGCAGCATGGCGCAGATGTCACCACTGTGATATCCATGTCCGTACAGTTTTTTTCCACCACCTTGCGATGGAGGAAAAAACAGAACCTGCTAGACCCCATGTTGGTCTATGGGGAATCTGATGTAAATGGACATGTGTCCGTTTACATCAGATTCCCCCTGATCCAACACGATCCGGTCCGGCGAAACAGATCTCTGATCCATTCTCCAGACCCGGAGGCGGGGGTAACCGGTTGTAAACAGACTTGCCCATATGTTGTAAATTATGATTGAAGTAGATATATTAGGGATATATTTAGGGTGTATGCTTATGTTTCGCAGGAAACTCTTTTGGCTGATGTTATTTAACTATGCTAACTAGGTTTTTATTGTGTAAGTTTCTTGGCCAGTTGACCAGCCTGTTTTCTGGGTGTTGATTGTAACTAAAGGAACAGCTGTAGGGAATTTGTCAAAACCTGTTTATTTAAAGTAGAACTATGAGGTACGCGATTTTCACTCATCCTCATAGTTCTAGCCGACCTGTGACAATGAGACTGTCACAGGTCAGGTCAGCTCAGTAGATCGGGAAGTGAGCAAACACATACCAGCGTTCGCTCACCTCTCGATCCTGTCACAGCTCTCTGCCGTGACAGGGGAGGGGCTGGATTCCCCCCTCCCCGCTCCGATCCTCCAGCGCTGACTGGCGGAACAGACGGGGGAGGCGGCGGGTACAGCTGGCTCTGCCTCTAGATAGGCAGAGCCAGCTGTCACTCACGCAGCTGGGCAGATCCAGACATAATTGTCGGGATCTGTTTCAGCTGCTGCGTCTCAGTATACCGCGAGTTGTAGCTCGCGGTATACTGAGCTTAGGGTGACGGGAGGACGCTAGTTTGTGTCCTCCCGTTACCCTTAGGAGAACTATGGGGAAAAGCCCTAACCCCATAGTTCTCCTTTAACTAATATCAAAGGGGTAATGAGACCAGCCAATCAGAATCCTTTCAGTGTTAGTGAATGGCACTAAACTATATATGAATTTGAGAGCCTAAGGTGGCTGGAGAAGATCAGAGTAATGAAGAGAGGCACAGAGGTGCATATATAGATGGAGATATAAATATATATTTGGGTATTTATATATTTTATACGTCCACCATATATTTCATCACTACACCATAGACTTGTATTGGGCAGCCAATCGGGTCCACCTAAAAAACTAACAGGAGGATCCGGTTGGACCGGCCTTAAGGCCCCTTTACAAAGATCACAAGTCAACAGAGGTTCCGATTGCACTCTCTGTTTTACTTCTGTTGTGCTGTGTTCCATATTCTTTTCTTTTTTGGGCAATCTTTAAATGAAGTAGCATGTCCTGAGTGGACATACTTCACTGTATTGCCTTTTTCTTAACTTGCATTGTGCTTACATGTGTTAGCAGGTGTTTGACACATTGCGCTAAAAAAAAAAAAGGAGCATGCTCTACTTTTTAGGGGTTTTTTTTTTCCAGTGCACTGCAACGCAGCACAATACAGCAGTGTAAACTGGCACCTTTCACACCCATATATATTTTAGTGCTCTTGCATTAGCATCCATTAAAAAATGCCAGTGCAATGCAATGGATCTGGTGTGAATGGGGCCTAAATATACCCCTTTGCTTTTAACAGACTTCTCTGTCAGAGCTTGGGAAATGCACCTGCTCATGAAAAGGAATTATCAAAGTCAAAGTACCAGGGCAACTCTGATACGCAATAATGACTCACAGGGCCATTATTTAACATCTATCTTTGGAAACCTGAGTCTTCCCGCGTAGGGTTGCGAAACCTTTTTTTTTTTCTTTCATTAGTCATGTGATTAATCTAGCTACTTCGTCAAAGATTTTTTTTTTGGTATGTTTGTGCAATGAAATTTATACATACAGGTTCTGAACAACAGACATTTATTTAAACTGAACTTTTTAGGATGTTTGAAATTTTGTTTGGCTTTTAACATTTTGATCGAACAAAAACCACATTCACTGTTAGAACTTTGAACTTTGTTCCTTCAATGAAACAAATGCCATCCTACCTCTTCTTTATTTTCCATTACTACCGTGGAAAACAGTCGTTGATTTTAACACATTATAGGGTTATTAAAGCATCATTGTTGCATATATCTACTGCTAGCAAGCAATAGATATATGCAAAAACATTTTTAAAAAGTTGAAAAGGGTTCAAACGTACCTTTTGTCTCCGCCGCGCACTCCCGTCCAAGCATCTGATGATTCTCGGGCAGCCGCAAAGGATCTTGGGGCGGGCGCATGTGCAGTTCAGATCTTCGGCCGGGAGACGAGGAGAGACATAGGGTAAGCTATAACAGCTTCAACTCTTCTGGGAAGGCTGTCCACAAGCTTTAGGAGCGTGTCTATGGGAATGTTTGACCATCCTTCCAGAAGCGCATTTGTGAGGCCAGGTACTGATGGACGAGAAGGCCGGGCTCGCAGTCTCCGCTCTAATTCATCCCAAAGGTGTTCTGTCAGGTTGAGGTCAGGACTCTGTGCAGGCCAGTCAAGTTCCTCCACCCCAAACTGGCTCATCCATGTCTTTATGGACCTTGCATTGTGCACTGGTGTGCAGCCATGTTGGAACAGGAAGGGGCCATCCCCAAACTGTTCCCACAAAGTTGGGTGCATTAAATTTGTCCAAAATGTCTTGGTATGCTGATGCCTTCAAGAGTTCCCTTCACTGGAACTAAG